TTTATGTTTTAAAATATTTTTGTAAAAAATAAATTTTATAGGTTTATCAATATAATAAAACTAGTCAAAACTAAAACCAAATACTTATACAATTACATTATTTTATTCTTTAATACTTACTTTCACTCTAAAGCCGTCCCTAATTTATACCTTATGTTATACTCACTTCATAAAATCATTTTCAAAGCCATTTGAACTAGGCAGGGTTTTTGGGTGTGCCTCAGATTGCCAAGCATAAATTTCCAAAAAGTAGACTTTTAAAATAATTTAATTTTTATATTATCTTCTGAGGTAGATTGATGAAATTGGGAACAATTATTCCACAATTTTAATTGTTAATACACAGTTGACTCTTGAACAACAGAGGTTTGAATTGCACGAGTCCACTTAGACAAGGATTTTCTTCCACCTCTGCCTCCTCCCATGAGACAAGACCAACCCCTCCTCTTCCTGTTCTCCCTCCAGACTACTCAGTGTGAAGATAAGGATGAAGACCTTTATGATTATCCACTTCTATTAAATGAATAGTAAATCTATTGTCTCTTCTTTATAACTTTTTTTTTTTTTTTTTTTTTTTGAGACAGAGTCTCGCTGTGTGGCCCAGGCTGGAGTACAGTGGCCGGATCTCAGCTTACTGCAAGCTGCGCCTCCCGGATTCACGCCATTCTGCCTCAGCCTCCCGAGTAGCTGGGACTACAGGCACGCGCCATCTCACCCGGCTAGTTTTTTTGTATTTTTTAGTAGAGACGGGGTTTCACCGTGTTAGCCAGGATGGTCTCAATCTCCTAACCTCGTGATCCGCCCGTCTCAGCCTCCCAAAGTACTGGAATTACAGGCTTGAGCCACCGCACCCGGCTCTTCTTTATAACTTTCTTATTAACATTTTCTTTTCTCTAGCTTAATGTATTGTGAGAATACAGTGTATAGTACATATAACACACAAAATACATGTTAATGGACTGTATTATCAGTAAGGCTTCCAGTCAACAGCAGGCTACTAGTAGTTAAGTTTTGGGAGAGTCAAAAGTTACATGCAGATTTTCTACTGGAGGGAGGTGCCCCTAGTTCAAGGGTCAACAGTAAATATTAAATATTCAACAATTGATATAACACTGATATGTCTTTAATTTTTATATGCTAGAAACATTGACATGCAGATGACATGTGTCTCCTTTGGCCTGTCATTGCTCCTAGACATGTTTATTGTGCTCACTTTAGAGACAAGGAGCCAGAGAACCCTAAAGAGGCTAAGTATTTTTGTCTCAAAGCTAGAACAGGAGAAGGCTTGGCTGTTGTTCTCCTCTTCATTGCAAAACCCATGCTCTTCCTTCAACTTTACTCTGCTTTTAGTTTGAAAAGAAGAAAAGGGAAGAGAATTGACATTTAATAAGCAAATTTGGACCTAATGCTGCCACTTAGTATTTTCACCTTCATTAGTTAATTTAATCTCAGCAACAATGCAAGTTAGATGTTTCTGTTGTGACTTCATGGATTGGGAAACTGAAGCCTAGACAGGTTTAATAAATTGTCAAAAATCACACATTTTATAAGTAGTGAAGCTGGAATTTATACACATGGTTTTGACAACAGCTGACCCTGCTTAATAAAAGGCAAAAATTGGATCTCAAGTGTAAGGCATTAAATTTATGATTAAGAACTTGATGATCATACGTGACTTCACTGTGAGATACTTACAAGCTATTTTTTGCTTTTTAAGAAGACATTATCTGGGAACCTCAACCCATAAAGTTACCAACTGGTAATGTTTTATAAACAGTATTTAGTGGGTTACTCTGGAATTTACCTCTCTTGTTAGAATAAAGTACCCAGAAAGCTGTTTTTACCTAAGGAGTAATAACCCACTGGTGTTGGAGAATTGAGAGCTCTGCCATAAGTCCAGAGCTTGTTAATATTATAATATATTCAGAATTATCTGTAAAACAATGTCACACTAACTTGAATTTTAAAATGCTTCTGGCTCATCAGTGGTTCTTTAGGGGTGGGGGTCAGGGTCAAGAGGGGTAGAATTATAAAAAGACATGAGGAAACTTTTGGGGGTGATGGATAGGGTCACTGTCTTGATTGTGGTGATGTTTTGGGCTTATACATCTGTTAAAGTTTCAAATTGTACACTCTGTGCAATTTATTGTACATGAATTGTACTTCAAAAATGCTGTTAAAAATGATTTCTGGGGTGGAAGAGAGATGGGTAGAGTTAAAACTACAGCACTATTAGATTGGTGCAAAAGTAATGGCAAAAATAGCAATTACTTTCACACCAACCTAACAGAATGACACGTCCTCTGCATTCAATTTTCTCAACTCTGATGAGCAGCCTTTTCTGGAATACTATTGTTTGTGCGGATACAAACTATTGAATATATAAGACTTGAGAAACAAATAATGTTAACAATGAACATAGTCAAATTAATGCAAACTTATTTTAACAGTAAAATTAGATTACAGTTAGTGTTGATTTTTTTTCGTCAATACTATAGACTTGTTTTCTATATTAGTTACCTACTCACTTGTGTATGAGTTGACTGGGGAGTAATCTAATCCAAGCTGGGCTTAGCTGGGTTGCTCTGGGATCTTGGCTGGTACTCATGTGTATGTAGATTGTCTACAGGCTCTGCTCCTGTGTGGGCTTGGCTGGGGAAGCTTAACTAGGGCATTTCTCCTCCAGATGTCGCTCCTGAAATGCTGAGCATGACCCTGTGGGCAGAAGTAGAACAAAGCCAGCCCAATAACACAAATGATTTTCAAGACTTTGCTTGTGTAATGTTTGTTAATATCCCATTGGCTAAAGTAAGTCACATGGACAAGCATACGCATGGGAATGATGCCCTCCCACAGTTAGTGGGTGCTGAAAGTTATGTTTCAAAGGATAATTGGAGTCAATAATAAAATCCATCATATTTGCCTTATTATTATTATCTTTGGGGAAAAAATAACACGTTTCAAAAACTAAAAGCTATTTTAAAAAAGGTTAGACATCTCTTTTTTTGTAAAATAAGAGTTTTGTTTCTTAAAATGGCTTTTTTATTTCCTCACATACATATGCAGTTAATGTTTAAAATGAATGCCATAGAATACAAAATCTATGATGCTACCTGAGATACATAAAAATGTTATCAAAAAGGAGAGAGTTCTAATATTTCAATATGATTAAAAACTGCACATGCAAAAAATATACACTTTTGCATAATGCTTTGCACAGTCAGCCTACTTTTACAAGAATGTAAGCTAAAAAGGATGGCAGTCACCTCAATCCTGTTGACAGTGTATGCCTTGCCCCCAGCATTGTTGGTAGTACACAATCCAAACTTCAAATATGTGTTGGATGATTGAATTTGTAAAATATGGGAAAAAAAAAAAAACCTGCCTGCCTCATGGGAAGCTTTCATGAAGTGAAGAACTTTTCTAGTTACGTGGAGCCAAATTTGATCAAATTGTTGGAATGCTATCCAAAAATGGAAAGTAGACTTGAGGACAACAATAAGAAAATCAGTAGGTTATTTGAAATTCAAATCAAGGATAGTGATGGTATGTAATCTTAAATTCTATGCTGAACTATAAAGCAATAGGGATATCTAGTACCCTTAAAGCAAGTTTTACAGATTTATCCACTGAATAATAAATTTTTAAATGTTCTTTGACAAAGTCGTCAATATGAGCTATTTGACTCAAGGTGACAAGACCACTAATGGTTAGTATACTAGGATTGCAGTTCTGTTTAAAGTATCTCAGTTGTGGTGCTGGAATGTCTGCTGTTAATAACTAGCTGAGATTATATCCAGCCTCTTGCATGTATTAGATATTGTGGTATGTTTGCATAATATTTCCAAATATTCTCTGTTATAAGTGTCTCTTTTATTTGTTCTTCATAGCAAAATGAGAGAGACATGGAAGATATTTTATCCCCATTCTACAGATGAGGAAATTCAACCTTATTTGGTTTATAGTCATTAGCAGGTAAACGACACAGACAACACTGGGGCCAGTTGTCCTAATTGTCAGGCCTGTGTTTTAAGTTGTATCATGCTGCTACCAAAAAGGGTTGATAAGGGAATTGAAAAGATTTAAACAATTGAAATCTCATAGGTATTGAAGCAATGTTGGTTTTGCTAACATAGAGGTGTCATAGTTTATTCAAAACGTTTCTTCTTGTCAATCCAAACATTTGTAAGATTTCCCCCATTTAGATGTGAATCATTTTATAAAATGAAGATTCCTCTTTCAATTTATAAACTGAAAATTTATCAATAGGGAAGATTATCTATTGAATCATATTTTTTTGTAAATCTGAGACCAAGGAATATGATTCTACTTTCCCTCTCAAAATAAGGTATTCCTGCATTGTTTTTTAGTACTTTTTACAAGTCAATATCCTCTTATTAATGAAAATACTTAAGGCACGAGAATCATAAAAGTGAATGGCAATCCAGTTACTGTACACAGATTCTGGTATTTTTCTATTCTACTTTTTATAGGTAACTATAGATTCACATGCAGTTATAAGAAATAAGAGAAATTACAGATGCCCTGCATCCAGTGTCTTCCAGGGTATTCAATTGTAACACAGTATCACAACCAGAAATTTAACATTGAAACAATTCACCTACCTTATTCAGATTTCACCAGTTTTACATGGAACCATTTGTGTGTGTTTGTGTGTGTGTGTGTGTTTGTATTTAGTTATGTGCCATTTTATTATATGTGTAGTTTTGTGGAGTAACTGCCAAGGTCAAGAACAATTTCATCACAAGAATCCCTCTCTCCACTTCTTTTTTTTCTTTTTTTTTTTTCAGATGGAGTTTCGCTATTGGCGCCCAGGCTGGAGTGCAGTGGCGCGATCTTGGCTCACTGCAACCTCTGCGTCCAGGGTTCAAGCGATTCTCCTGTGTCAGCCTCCCGAGTAGCCGGGATTACAGGTGCCTGCCACCACACCCAGCTCACTTTTAAAAATTTTTTTTATTTATTTTTTGTATTTTTCGTAGAGACGGGGTTTCGTTACGTTGGGTAGGCTGGTCACTAACTCCTGGCCTCAGGTGATCTGCTGGCCTCAGCCTCCCAAAGTGCTGGGATTACAGGTGTGAGCCACCGCGCCGGGATCTCTGTTCTCCACTTCCGTAATTCTGTCATTTCAAGAACATCATATAAATGGAATCATATAGTAAGTAGTTTTTGAAGTTGACTTTTCCACTAAACATCGTTTCCTTGAGATTCATCCAAGTTGATATGTGCCTATGTCAATAGTTAATTGCTGAGTTGTATTCTGTCCATTCATTTTTATCTCCAGGTTCGTCCTCTGTAAATTGTATGGAATGGGCTGTCAGGACTTGCAGTTCTCAAGAGCTAAGATGATTTGTCTGAGCAAATGGTGATGCACCCCAAAAGAGCCAACAGACTTGGGTAAATGTGAGCAGCTATAAACCTTAGAATGAGGGCATGTGCCACCTGAGTGTTTGAATGTCTTCCCAGTGGTGTAACTATCATTTTCAAATATGAAGGATGAAGAATAACAGCTTTCAGGAAGTGTTTAAAGGATTAAAAGTGTTTAAAGTACTAAAGTTCATTATGAAATATCCTCAGAAAAATCTGTGGAACTACTAAATTTTCATCACTCCAATAAAAATAATTAAAATATAATTATGAATCCAAAAGTCTAGGTGTTGAAGACATTATCTCAGGGTCGGTTTTCAAACTATCCTTCAGTATCCTTAGGGGCCTGCCACATACTTTTGCTGATTTTCCTCCTCACCATCCCTCCCCAAACAGGAGTAAGTCTGGGATCATTAGTTTTCCTTTGAGGAAGGAGTTCTGTGGCTGAAAAGAAATTTCAAAACATCGAATCTGTCACCTAAACATTATATAATTGTAACTGTTTTATTAAATGAGCACCCAATGACCCAACTGTCTGCTTAAACTCATTTTTATGGAGCCCGTCCTTTCCTTCTACTTGGATGACATCTAGGCCAAGTTTCATGACCTGCTTCTTAGAAACTCCACCCTAAATCTCCTAATCTCACTCTTTTCTCTCTCTCTCTCTCTCTTTCTCTCTCTTTTCTTTTCTTCATTTTTTTTTTAGACGGAGTCTCCCTCTGTTGCCCAGGCTGGAGTGCAGTGGAGCGATCTCCTCTCACTGCAAGCTCCGGCTCAAGGCAAGCTCCGCCTGCCGGGTTCACGCCATTCTCCTGCCTCAGCCTCTAGAGTAGCTGGGACTACCGGCATCCACCACCACGCTGGGCTAATTTTTTGTATTTTTAGTAGAGATGGGGTTTCATCGTGTTAGCCAGGATGGTTTCGATCTCCTGACCTCGTGATCCTCCCGCCCCGGCCTCCTAAAGAGCTGGGATTACAGGCGTGAGCCACCACGCCCGGCCTAATCTCACTCTTTTCTAACATTGGAATGAAAAAAGCATTAAGAATGTGCATAACTGGTTTTTGTTTAGCTCATCTGAAAATCCTGTGTGTTATTTCTCACCTCCCTTTGGACCCTGGAGGCATTAGCACCTAGTGTTTTCAGACCTCAACAAAAATGGAAACTGAAATAGATACATTATATTATCCTGTTTTATAACAAAGTTAACCTAGCATATAATTGTCCCTGAATAAATGGATAGCTCCAGCTAAAGTGAATTTTTTGAAACCTATCAAGGATCCATACATATTCTTCTAATGACTGAGAAGTTGTATATCATATTTTTTTGTTTTGTTTTCAAGGATCTCAACATGATTTTATTATCAGTAAGATTACATTCAACACTTTGTTACAAAAAAAAAGAAACCACTTATTATGTTATTTATTTTTCACAAGTACCGACTAGTTTGGGAAGGAATCATATATGTTCCCATTTGAGATGTATGGAGGAGATCCACATCCCTGTGTTCCAGCCACTTCATTCTTCCCTTATTTCACTTTATGTTAATAGTTCATGCTATCAAATTTTTGTGACACATTTAAAGAAATGGCATCGTTCACATTTCACACACGTGAATATTGATGAAAAAAGCATTCTAAGTATGTCTCTAAAATTGTCCTAAGTAAATTTATTGTTTTTTCACGTCCTGCATTTATCCCTTTCTTAACAGTTCCATAAGCTCTATGTTTAACACACACGAATGTATACATACACTTGCACATGTATCCACACACATGCACACAGCTATATAAAACATATTACTACTTCAATTGAATGTTCATTGCACCTGAAGTGTTATATATGATGTAATAGTGTCTCAAGCTTACAGAATTTAGAACATTTTACAGTATCAGAGAGTTACATAGGGAAGAGATTTGGGGAACAATGTGAAACTGATCATGAGTGTTCCTTACACAGGCTTAAGGATGTTCGAACTTCGGTGTTCAGCCTTCCTTAAGTAAGTGCCCAACTTCTTGGGGCATATATTTTAAGTAAAGATAATATCCTTGGTCACATAGTCTCTTTCTTGTTCTTACTTGCTCTAATTTCCTCACTTATATATCTTTTATAAATTATATATGTTTTGTGAGCAATATGAGTAATTTCTTTTCTGGAACAATTAATCGTATAAATAAACATAAGTTTTAAAAAATCAATTTTTCTACTTTCTGAAAAACGTTCTCACTTGCCGAGTTTTCTAGGTTAAATTAGGTTCCTTCGAGAGTGCAGCTTATATTTTTGCTCCTATTCATTTATCTCTCTATATCTATTTATTTCTCAGTGACTGGAGGTATAAAAACTAAGATTCAGAAAAAATGAATGATCCGTGCTTACAATCCATTTTTTCAAGTTGTCATCTGTTAAGGGTTGATACACATGGTAGAAGTATGTGGCTTTTCTTCAATTCTTCAATTTTCGAGTAGATATTCATTAGCTCGACTCTATAAATAAGTTAGCCTACCAAGACCAAGATGCTGTGAATGACAGCTCTGCTCCTCTGATTACTAGATCCACTTAAATGATCTCACGTATACTTTTAAAATTAGTATCTGTGACATATTTGAAGGGAGCAAGGAAACATGCTAATTACCTTCACTTCTAAGTTTATAGGTAAAATGAAAACTATCTCATTAATCCAGAGTGAGACATGGCCCTGGGTTGACGATATAAAGTGAGAAACCGAGATTAGTTCTGAAAACAAGTCACATGCAATTTTACTGTGTTGGTGTTGGTTCGCTTGTTAGGTTTTCTCTGCTTACTCAGTTGTCAAGGATCTTCATTCTGAATGAGGACAAGAACTTGACAATGTTTGCATTCATTGTGTGACAATGGGGTAATCTCATCGGAGTATAGTGAATCCCTTTCTCAATCATGTAGGAGGGAGTGAGAAAGACTCCCACTGTGTAGATAGTTGCTGTCTGTCAGTGGATTTTCTGGGCAAAAATGTCTTTTTCTTCTGACATCTGTTACTTCACAGTAATGGGAATACTTTGACTACCTTCCTGGGTTGTGCAAGGAATAAAAGAGCAAATCTCGTTGTAAATTTTGCTACCTCTTAGTATCTAGGTTATCTTTGCAAAAATTGTATTTGGAACTATATATACCTCAGAGAAAGAGGAGGGCCTTATTTGTACTCATTATGGCATACTTTGGTATTATTATTTTCACTTATATACCTCTCTTCTCCATAAGAATACATACCCCTTAAAGACAATCTTGTCTTTTTAATGATTTTTTTCTCCAATGCCTTGCAGAGTGTCAAAACACAGTAGATATAAAAAAATAAGTTTTTAACCTGATAAGTGTGAAAGAAGAATAATAGAAAGTGTTTTTCTATTTAACTACCTAGAGTTTATAAAACTCCTTGATCACTTATATTCAGGAGCCATCATTACCAGCATTGTTGTTTTCATCACTGTTGTCATCTTTGTCATCATCTCACTTCCCATTTATTGGTCTCTAATTAAGTACCAGTCTCTCTGTTAAGCAAGTTTTATACATAACCTCATTTAATCCACACAACAGTCTTATGAGATACTGACCTCAGCTCCATTTTAAAAGTGAAGAAACTGAGGTATGGAGAAGGCAAGCAATTTGTCACAGCTGAACAAGTAGCAGAGTCATGATTTAAACTGTGTACTTGTCTTATTTTAGGTTCAAACTCTTATCTACGTTGTGCTTGTGGTAAAAGTTACCTTTCCCCTTCCCCCCACCAGTCTTCTTGATTGTACAATAAAGTTTTTGTTAGTCTTTTAATAGCTTTAATCCCATCTCCTGCTATCTGCTTACCTACATGCCTCCTTGGATGTATGCTATTGAAAAGAAAAAAAAATCTGAGTTAGGTTAATTAAAGGAATAAAAGTGTGTGTGTGTGTATGTGTGTGTGTGTCTATATATGTATACAATCCTAGATATGGAGATTCATTTCATTCTAGGTGGCTCTCAACTCAGGCTACATATCAGAATTGCTTAATAAGTTTTTGAAAACTGCAGATTCCCAGGTTCTGTCCAAAAACTGCTGAATCAGAATCCCTTAGGAGAGATCCTGGCATCTCATTAAAACAAAAACAAATGCCATGCTGTATTTCTTATATGCAACCTGGTTAGCAAATCAGGGCTTAGGTCTGTGAGACAGTGACTTGAAGAAGTGATTTCTTCCTGGGCACTGGACCATCAATGTGAGTGCTTTGGGCAATGGTGGTGGTGCCTTGAGCAGTGGATGCCTGGACAGTGCCCAGATTTTTCCTAGTTATTTTTTTTAATAAATATTTATTGAGTATCTACTATGTGCCATACAGTGTGCAAGAGCTTACACTTCTGCAAGTGTAAAAACAGGAAATAATTCAACCAATAAACTATTTAATTTTTCTTTATAATTAAAATTTTGAGGTATATCCACTTTGTTCACAACATGCTCAGCTCTAATGTCTTAGTTCGGTGCCCAGTTTGTAGGTTTCATAGAGTAAGGGATTTAGAGAAATCAGTGCAAGAGAGAAAGGCATAAAACTACACACACACACACATACACACACACACAAATAAAATAAAATAAAACGGAGAACACACTAAATCATTAATACAAGCTACTCATAATTTATTATTTATGAGAAAAATGAGAGAACATTTAGGCCAAAATTTAAATAAATTCACATAAGAACAAAGGAGTTATGACTATGATTCTCTTGCTCATTGCATATTCTACATCTTCATATTTATCCTCAAAGTAAATAATTATCTTTGTGTCCCCAGGTCTCATCCAAGCATAAATTCTTGGTAACTGTGCTTATCAGGTTTGACTTTGACATCTGACTGTTCTCACAGGTATCTTTATAGATTTTTAAAATCTGTTCTAGTGTCTAGTATCTGTGTGTTATAATCACATTCCTTTTTTTCTCCCCTATTACCACTCTGACCTTGCCTTCCCAGCTCACCACCCCCAGCACTTGGCCACTCCTACTCTACACCACTTCATTCTGTCTTTTGACTCCT